TCTGTGGATGAATTCCATATCTTTTGATGCATTCTAGACCAACAATAAAGTACAGTTTAGATTCAAGTGAGACAAGTTTCTAAATTGCATTCAGTTGTCACTCACCATTTTGTTTTCTACCTCCCATAGTGCTAATTCTTTCTTCAGCTGGCTTCTTTGTCTCCTCTTTTATTGAGATGAGATCTGAACTCTACAGTAAGAAGATGTTTAATTAAAATATTGAGGTCCTCTGTTGTACAGGGGTGAGTCACAATAGACTCGTTGTCACTGGCATAGAAATTTTGAGCTATGTAGCAATTTCAGGCAAATCTGAACTACAAGGTAAGATCCTTCCTTAAAAACATTACACCATACCAAAGTAAAACAACAAAGGTAGAAAGCTGTTTCTTCTCTCAGCTAACCCCACTGATCTATACTACTCATAGATTAAAGGTAGACAATAGTAATCCTTTCCTCATAGTAAAATTGTGAAGCTTGCTGATGATCTATACTATAAGAAAATTGGCATCATATTGAGTTGCAAAACCTCTAAGCTTATCATATCCTTTAGGAACAGTTTGAAAACAACCAGTAAGTATATATTTGAAAGGCACTTTTCTATGCAGTGGCTCAGAGCCAGGATAAGTCGTTACTCAGCCACATAGCCATGTGACTCTTGTGAGCCGCATTCCTGATTCCCTAAGCAGATTTTGGCAAGGGCACTCAGTTTGGGTTCCCTGCTAGGTGAGTCTCTTCATCAACATGAAAACATAAGAAGAAGCAGTTAAAGGTGCACTTGAACTTATGTTGACAATCATGGCAGAAGGAATGGAGGCAGAGAGAAAGACTGGAAGAGGCCAATGGAAGGATTTATCTTTCCAGGGTGTACCCTCTCTGACTGACTTCCTAGAGTTCCTTCAGCTCTGCCTATATTCATGGATTGATCTGGTGATGAAGATAAAGCCCTTATGAGCCAATCAACTCTAGAAGATCATTAGCTTGCAAACACACCTCTAACAGTGTAACTTTAGGAGAACACTTCATGTCCAAACTACAACCCTTACTTATGAATTTTTGAATATAGATCTGCAATATGACACAAATGAACAGCATGCACAGCCATTTTTTACTGTGGGTTTAAAACACCTTTTTTTTCTCCCTGAGATTCTTATGTGAGTTTCAGAAATGCAAAGCTGTATCTAGAATTAAGAAAGCATGAACACATTATCTGAACCACCTTGATAAAAATATCTATGACATTTTTTTAACTGGTTCAAAAATAATGTACGCTGGATGTGATGTTTTTAAATCTACTTCCTGGAGCCCAAATATTAGAACTTTACTTTCCTATGCACTTTAATAACACCAGTCTTTCTCGAACTGGTCTCTCATGCCTGTGCTTCGTGCATACCCAGAACCTAAAAGTTTAAAGTACCCGGAAAAAAAAGCCCAGGTTTGCAACTTTAAAAATTGTCTAGATTTTTCTTTCCCACCATGAATGCTCCCCAAAGTATCTAGTTTCATTGCAGAAAGGAGAGCAGGTTATGATCTGCATGTGGCTTTGTGGGCCTGAACCTGCTGAACAGAGCATTTGAGATGGAGAAAGTGTGGGTCATCTGAGTAACATTTGGTACAAACAAAGAGTAACCTGGATGATTTACACTCCAACCAAAATAAAATGTTTCTCAAGTACACTGACTCTTGTGTTATTTACATGAACTCTAGGCATTCTGGGAAGCTTGACTTCTGAGGTAATATGTTACTCACTCACAAAGATAAAATGAATAACTTGAAAAAAGAAATATCACATATATACACACAAAAATCAAATTGTTAGCAATGCCTCTGCTTGATTTCTTTTGCACAGTTGGCTTTAAAATGCCTCCTTTGGGCCGGGTGGTGGTGGTGGTGCACACCTTTAATCCCAGCACTTGGGAGGCAGAGCCAGGTGGATCTCTGTGAGTTCGAGGCCCGCCTCGTCTACAAAGCGAGATTCAGACAGGCACCAAAACTACACAGAGAAACCCTGTCTCAAAAATGAAAATAAAAAACATTCCTCCCGGTTCAGTAGCACCATTGATTTCTATGCACTTTCCATTCATGCTGTTCTACTACGGGATTGCCACTATCCAATGTCCCTTTCCTTATAGGTCTCAAGAACCACTTTAGAATTAAGGCAAGATGATAAAATATGATTAATGTAGAAAAGTATTTAGAGAAGGAATGACCTGGGATAGGTTCAATTCCACCTGAGTTCCCAGTGAATTTGTAGATTTGCTCAGAACAACCTCCTCGTCTAGATGACTACATGTTAAGTGTCGATCTAAGTTCAGGTAAAGGATGAAAGTTTATGGTTCCCTCCTCCCCACTTTTCTGAGGGTTTTCCTAAAAGACTGGCTATAAATGTGCTATAATCTTTGAAGTCTGACACACGTTTTTCGCTGGGTTTGTCCTTGAATGTGCTCATAATCAGAACATAGGATAATGACATGCATCATAAAGGAAAAGGTTGATGATACTGTTATTCATAAATAAATATGAACTCAGTTCATGTTTTATAAATCCTGTGGTAGTCTAGTCATTTCAGTGTGGCAGAGAGGTACTTAGCACCCTCTCTGAGAAGTAATTTGTTATTCATTTATTTTATAGTCCAGCAATGTTTCTCATACAACAATCCCCTAGATACTTAGAGCACCATGTTTACTCTGTTATTTACAAAAAGACAGACAGTTTAAAGCTTCACTGTGAGGATATTTTTAAATGACTTTGCAACAGCATCATGGGACTAAAAATAATTGACTATGAATCCAAACCGTGTACTAAATTTGAAAATATTTTTGAAATCTTAGTGTGTAGTAAATGGACTCCTAAAGGAGCAGCTAAACTCCAAATGGATTTCTAAATTTTATACCTTTATCTTTCTCAAAACCTCCAGCATAATCAACCTTGTGATGCTTCCTCTCACTCTCTAGTTTCTGTTCTTGGCCCCCCGAAGGTTCCATAGTTGACTCAGGTTAGGATGGCCTTGGAGTTCTTAAAATCACATTTATTTTAAAGCAGCTATCATAGATCACAAATATTATAGATGAGGGATGAGACACTGACAACAAAAACTTTGAAAACATAGTCAGTTGTGACAATGGGAAACACTAACTAAGCTGGAACTCTTGAGAAGTCAAAGTACCACACATGCATGTACTGCTGCTGATTGCACAATGTGGAGAATGTCATGGTAACCACATCAAGCATGGACATGGTGGGAAAGACACTGAGGAAGGAAGCTGGACACAAAAAGAAATTACAATTCTCCAAACCCTGATTCACTGTTATTGTTGGGTTTATGTAGAAAACGGAAGAAAGGTCCCAATTAAGAGACATAAACCCTTGGTTTCATCTGTTAATGGCACGGAATCTTGGAAAGTCTAACACTTGCGTTTGCTGAATAGGAATTCATTTTTGTTGCTTGCCTAACTTCATAGTTTCAGTTATTGTGAGCTAACAGTATTATTCATTTTCCCAGCTTAGAGCAAGGAGACAAAAGCGTTGTGTTCATTCACACAGATGAATACATTTGTATTTATGTGTGTGTGGAAATGTAATGTTTAAAGATAATGCAGCGCAAAGTCTTCAAATTCTCAAAGCCACTTCCAGTGGCTTCTCTTCTCCAACAAAGCCACATCCAATCCTTCGCATAGAGCACCACCACCTGGTGATCAAGGATTCAAATGCCCGAGACTATGGGGATCATCTCATTCAAACCACCGCAGTCTTAAACAGTGAACACAGACTATTTCAGTCTTGACTATCATTTGTCATAATGATGTTTCCATGATCATCTCTGAAATATCTATTTAAATGCAGTCTTTTTCTAACGTTGATACATGTTTGATTGTTTTTGATAAAATTGAAGGTCATTATCTTATACTGAAAACCAAAATGTTCTTATCCCTATTTCGAAGCTTTTAAAAGCTAATTGTAAGATGCATCATAGGGCAGAAGGCCTGCAGCAGTTACCCTCAGTGAGGTTTCTCCAGCCAATATTTTCGTTGATTCTACTGGTCTGCTTTTACAAGTGTGTCTTTCTTTCTGGTACTTGCCTTCTCCAATGTCTGCTGTCTGACTCTGAAGGAGTAAAGTCTAAGTGAAAGACCTAGATATGTTAGTTTCTAGAATCACATAGATTGTCGAAATAAATCCACCCACAAGCAAAGGGGAGGAAGAAGCGAGTCATTTTCGGGGAAGACAGACAATACAGTCTCTATTTCCCACAGCTCTCAAATGCTTGGTTGGCTTTTGATATTTGCTTTTGTTCTGGAGTGGTAGGCTAAGTTCCATGTCACAGAGGACTTTTCCTAGTCTCTTAAGAGCCATTTTATTTTCCGAGTGGCTTATGGAAGAGGGGATATGAGAAATCTTTCTGTACCTGCTCACCTACTTCAACTTTCTGTGCCCTGGGCCCTGCTCATCTCCCACTTTGTGTAGTGAAGCTTATCATAGATCTCAACTATGGACCAAATGAGAGGCACTGAAAAGATACAACACACAGATCCTGCATTGCAGCGTGTTTCAATTAATTGGTCCGTGGGACAAAGAATAGGCATTCGTTTTGTTTTGCTTTGAGTCTTATTTGATTCTCAAGATAAGCAGGGGCTAAGAACTACTGGTTTACTATATGCACTTTGTTTTAGAAGTTTGTATTGAAAGACTAAATGACTAGATTACATAGATACCCTTCTTGCAATGTTATAGCAAATAACACATAACAAATGATCATTTATCTTAGTACTAAAATGTTCTCTTCTTTGGAAAATACCAGAGAGGTTTAATTCAAATGGCTATCATGTCATGGGCATGTGCATATCTTGGGTATAGTCTCACTTTCTGAGACAGTAAAAGGTCTTTAGCTTGCATTGTTGCGATCAGTTTATTATTTTTGTGTTAGTTAGCCACTGTTTCTGGAATGACGTTGACTGTAACTGTGAAGTCACATGTGTGTCACTCTCTCTCTCTCTTACTCATAGCACCAGAAGAATGGGCCACAGCTCGCTCCAGCCTGAAGGCACCACCACCAAGGTCAGCCAGAGGGGGATACAGGGAACACCCCTATGGTAGATATTGAAGGTCCTCTTCACCTGTGACCTCCTCAGAGACAGTTCATAGCCTCTGGTCTCCACATAAACAGCAACAAGACAAGTAATAGTCCTTTTGTTTGTTTGTTTGTTTTTTCTATTCTAGGGATAAATGCTCATAATTATCCCCACTTATTTCTTGTATTTCCCTCAATACTGTTGACGTGACATTGAAACTAGTATTATTTTACAAAACAGACTGAAAAAAAAATCATTGGCAAGCATAGTTTATAAACCATTCAGTAGGATGATACTCTCTTGGTTGTTTTTTTTTTTTTTTTAAACTGTTGTGTGTAAAACCCCTTACCCCTTTTTGTTTTAGTATCATTTCCTTTTTCTTTTGTAAGAAAGAGCATGAGTCTGTTAGCAGATTTTGAGTCTCAACCAACTAGCATAACCTTTGTCTAGGGTTGATAAAAGACTGTAATATGATTTTGAACTAGCTGATAATAAAGTTGTAGATAAGATGTTTTAATCTGTCTTTTAATATCTGTTAGTCAGATGGAGATGTTCAATATTAAGTTGTAAATTTAATTTTTAAATGCTGTTTTAATGGGGTTGAAAACAAGTGGCTACTGTATGTATGTAGCTAACTGAATTTGTTCAGTGTTTTAACCTGTATTTGTTAAAAAAAAGAGAAAAAGAAAAAACACACATAAAGTTCCATGTGTAAGCTTCTCTAAATAGGCACCACAATTTGTCAAATATGTTTGCCATAATTTGTCAATAAAGCTGAAGGCTTTTGTAAAAACTAAATTTGGAATTACTTGTTTTCTAACTTTAAATGCCTGCTTTATTTCTTCTTCAAGAGATGCCTAAAATGTTTTCTATTTAAAAATTACAAAAATGAACCCAAGTCTGTTTTAAGCTATCTGTGTAATACTTAAAATGTATTAATAACTTATGGTTGTTAAATAATTTAAAAGTTAACAAACTAAACTGTTACATGAATCATGGTTAGTAAACACTAATGTATAACATGTTAATGGAAGAAATGGATTTAGAATAATAAATGGATTTTAAACTATCCTCTAAGCTTTATCTTGCTAAACACAAATTCTGATTGACTTGTTTGCACTAGCCTGTCTCTCGTGAGAAAGAGTAATGGAGTATAAAGAGGTAAGATTACCACTTACCACTGTCTAAATGCCTAGTTCTTCAACCTTTGAGTTTCCCCGCACATTAAATATCCCATCCAACATGTAAGCATTGCGTAGATTCACTTTATTGTTTTCACTCGAAGGAGTGCGTGGACTTCATTTGCGTAGTTTCTAACAGTTTGTTTGACAAACAAATCATCAGTGTCAATGGCTAGTTGTTGCTATTCAACCTCAAAAACTTTATTTGTAATTTTCAGTGCTAAATATCACCGCCCTTGAAGGCAGTTTAGAGGGCTGATATTTCTTTTGAGACTATCAGACTTGATGGCTGATGATTATTAAGGAAATATGTCGCAGGACTCACAGGATGACTAAACGTTAAACAGGTAACACTAATAGTAACTGTAAGTTTGCCTATGCAACAGTAATGTTAAATATTCTCAGTTATTAAGTTCCTGATAGTTAAAAAAGTAAACCTACAAAAATATAACAAATAGGTCTATAGGCTATTAAAACAACTAATCAACATTAACTAGAGGCACCAAAATTATTTTACAATATATAACCCTCAAGGTAATAAACAGAACTAAAATTAGCAATAACAGTAATGCAACTCTTGCTAACATCAAACGTAAGCTAAATTTTGATGGAGAAAAAGAAAGCGGAAGACTTGATAGTAGGGATGGATGCCAAAACTGTTACTCTTTTAAACATAGTTTTTTTTGTTTATGGTGGCTTTTTGTCAATGTGATTGGTTTACTTTTTTCGCTGCTTATCAGCTGAGGCATTTTGCTGTTTAGTTTTTTGCAGCTGGAGTTGCATGCTAATAGTTTTTATGACGTGTGTGTCTGTCATCAATTAAAATTGTAAGCATTTGCCTTTTATAAATGCTTCTCAGTTATGCTTTCATTTTCTATTCTTTCTTACTATTTCAGGTACACACAAAGAACACCATAAATGGTACCAGCTGTGATGGGCTAAGGAGGATAAAGGTAAGCTGATGGCTGTCACCTTTGACATAATCTTTACCAAAATACAACACGTTTTGGTATACTGAATAAGCTTAGATTTTTGTTAAAGAGCTAAATAATACTTATCTTTGCATTAAAGATATGGCTTGGCAGTCAGCTGCCATGGATTTCTATAATTGTTTAGGAACTTGTCGAATGAAATAAGAAGTATTGGTTATTATTTAACCCTTTCCTTTGCAATGAACTTTTCTTCTACAAACTGTTCTCCCAATTGTACAATCACAGTATTAAAACTTTTAGTACTCTGAAGATACAAAAGTAGAAAAACATAGTCTTTAAGAAAGGTTAAGGGAAGAGAAAAGATGTCTGATTTTTACGCCATCACCCCCATCCCTTTTAACCAGTCACATAAACACCACCAAGGCCTTTCCCAATTGGTCCTCGAGTGATTGAAAAATTCCTTGTTGCTCAGCCGCCATTTTATTTGATTTAGCAAGTAGTTATTGAGTAACAAGCACTAGAGGAAGCTGAGGCCTAACTTCTGTACACAGGGAGCTGAAAATATTAGCCAATAAACTTCCGAGTAAAATCAAAACACAGACAGTTATGAAAGCCACAGGCTGACCCGAGGCAAGGAAAACTGAAATGACTGTGTACAATCTAAGGAAGGATTAAAACCCCTCAGCTTCTGTCTCTGGTCATTTGTTTCTTTGTTTTTGTATTTTTTAACTATATAAATATTCATTCTTTGGGTGAAGCTTCAAGGGATTCTAGCACCTAGGGGTGAGTTCGAGAACTTGGATGGACTGGAAGGAACAGAAGAGACATTATTCTATGGGGAGGAAAGAGTCCTTGGGGAAGGGAATATGCTGTTGCAAAGCCTCTTCAACTAACAGCCTTGGAGATCTTCAAGCAGAACCCTTGCAGGAGTGCAGCTAGGAGGGAGGGGTTCATGTGTTCATATAAGGTGGTTCTCCAAATTTAAGTTGTTCGGATAACTACAGAACACTCTCTGTGGAAGAGGCTATGGTGTGTCTTCCCTGCCTTGTTAGAGGGAGCAAGGGTGAGGCTGTTTGGAAGACCCAAAGTCATGTGCAGGCCTTCTGCAGAAAAGCAAGGAGAGTTATACACACATGCAGTCATCTGCAGAAAGGCAGGGATCAGTGCTAACTAGGATGCAGAAATGTCAGTAGACATAACCAAGTAGAAAAGAGAGAACAGTTGTCCCTGCCACCTCCTAGACTCAAAAATCAAACCACAAAGTGAAAAGAAGGAAAGTAATCCCTTGAGTTATACAGAAATTCATGGCCTAAATTAGTCTGGATTGCCTAAGGTTATTTTTCCCTACCTGGAAGAACACGCAGAGTAATATGAAATCAAATTTAGGAACAGGAAAACATGATTTTATACATACATAAGCAGATTTGTTTACTGGATAATTTACCAACTCTTCAAATAATTAGAAATGAATACAGTGGGATTCTCTGGAGCTGGGGAATGAAATTTCTCCTAGGTTAGAATGACAACCTTTGACCCAGTGTTCTTAACAAGATGCTTCTCCCATGAGCAGCAGAAAGCTATGCTGGGTTCCACTGCCAACATCATATCTGCTCTCAGGAACTCTAAGTGATGGCTCCTAGATATGGTGAACATTCTCATGTCCAAAACCATCTCATGCAAGTGATGGGATTTGCACAGCACACTTCAAATCAATCTCTGTGCACTCTGTGTACATACATTCTGAAGCTCTGTGTGAACTTCCTATGGATTCCTTCAGATGATGAAGTTTCTATTGATCAACTGATAATCCCATGACAACTGGGAACTCACTGAAATACCAAATTTGAGCCCTTAACAAAGTGCTTTAAATAATAATCACATTAGTAATTAAGAAAGTTTTGTGCTTGTGTTTGTCCAAGTTTTTACTATACTCAAGCTTGGCTAGATTAGAATCAGTTTGCTTGCATTTGCGAACCTAGCCAGTGATTTCAAGTCTTTTGATATTTTGATAGTATTCACCTTTAGTTTATTAATGGACCCAAAGCCATGTGGCTTGATAACAACTGAACTGCAAACCATTTTTAAATGAAGTCGACATAAAATGACATATAAACACTCTTGGAAATTCAATGAAAGAAATCAATGTTTTAGAAATATATTAAGGTCTCGCCTTTACTCCTTTAGTGGTTCATTTAAAAATCACTTGGGCTTGTGTTTTCAAAACCACACATGCCCTTGGAAAGACACCCTTTATAGCATTCTCTCTGAGTTCATGCAACATAGACATACTCAGGGTTTGGTTCTGTTTGGTATTAATGGGAACACAGAGCACTGGTCAGAATTCTGAGTGGGCACAATGTTCAATTAATTTCAGGTTCCAATGTGACGATACCTGTTACTGAAATATTGTTTGCCACTCCAGCAGACTCCATGGGAAGGCTTAGTTCTTACTGTAAAATTACCACAGTAAATGTGTGGAAATATGCAATTATAAGGCAATTTATAAATTAATTACATATAGATTAATACATGATATAGGGCAGAACATCAAAAATAATAACAGTAATCATGATGCAACCTTTTGGGTTTGTTCACACATGCCAAACACAGGACCAGAAGTTTTACATAAATACTACTATTAAACATATGTCATGTTTTATAAAAAAAAAGACACATGGAGTAATGCAAGCATCCCCATTCTGTAGAAAAAAAAACATTAATTTCATACTGCTAATAAGAAGCAAAGAATGGTAAAAGAAATTGGTAAAAGAAAATTTTCTGTCCCACATGCTATTGTTATTTTTACTCTTTTATTACTTAAGAATTTATATTTTTAACATTTACATGGAAAGGGGGCAGGTGAGATGGCTCAGCAGTTCAAAACACTTGCTGCTTTTACAAAGGACTTGAGTCCAGGCATCCAAGTAGGGGTTCTTAACAACCTCCTGTAACTACAGCTCCAGGGGATCCGATGCCCTTTTCTGGCCTTCATGAGTACCTGCACATTTGTGGCATTCACTCACATAGACACACAAGCACAATCATAAATAAATTTAAAAATAGTCATATAAAGAGTCATAATTTTGAAGGAATTTGAAAATATGAAAACCTCAAATTTACCCTAGTTTTTATTCTGTAGCAATAAAATGAATACTTTTTAAAAAACACACAGTGGTGTTTTTCTTTTACTTTGAAATGCATTTTTACTTTGCTATCTCCGCAAACATCATCCTTCTAAAATGTCTGACTCCATCACTGAAAGACACAGGTGAAAGCGTCACACGTTTGTCACGAAGCATGACTGCCGCCTTTTGTAGAGTCAAAGATTCCATCTGTAGTCTAAGCTCCATTTGACATGATGATAAAACACTCACATAATTAAATGAGCACAAAAGCAATTCCAGGCCTTTGTTCTGCAATCAAAGATCAGAACTCTATTTTAAAAAAAATAGGGTCAATTTCAACACAGAAATATTGCTGTGCAGCCATACAGTCATGTGTTAGGCACACAGCTGAAGGAAGCAGCCCGTCTGAAACACTTTTTAAAATCTCTGCTGCCAGGAAAATACATTCCATTTGTATGGACGTTCTGGTGTCCCCATGAATAGCTGATTTAACAAACAGTAGTGTCATGGACTGACAGACACTATTCTTCTACATTGAGCTTGGAGATTAATTTCCTGGTTCCTTATGCAGAATGTATTAATTGGTTCTTGAAAGATTGTTTACGGTGAGAGAGAAAAGGTCACTGTACTTAATATGCATTTTACATCTGAGTCTTTTGTACTTGGTAAGGAAAAGGATTGGGAGGAAATGAGATGTCTGATTCACACACACTACACATCTTAAGAGGGTTCTGGTTTATCTTATTTACACACACACACACACACACACACACACGACGAGAGAGAGAGAGAGAGAGAGAGAGAGAGAGAGAGAGAGAGAGAGAGAGAGAGAGAGAGAGCGCAAACACCCCTTCATCCCCTTTAAACTTGGTTAGCCAGTTACACATCAATAATGTTTTATGGTTCTGATCCACCGTGTCTTTTGTGTCTCCACTTCACGGTGGTATGTGATGAATTATTTATTTACTTACAAGAGAGATTAGAGACAGATGGCTCCTCTTCCCACAATCTTCCTTGAGATAGGATCCCCACTAGTTTTCTGTCACCTTAGTGTCTCTTAAGGTGACTTCAGCTAATGAGAATATTCACTCTCCCCATCTCACTCTGTCTGCCTCACATGAGAATATCACATTCCCTATCCTGTAACCTTAGAGCCTGACTTTGTGATGTTCTTCACGTTCTCTGAGGCCATGGTGACCTTCCTTTCCTAAGACCCCCCCCATCACGTTCTTAGTAACACATGGCATAGTAAAAGGACAAGAGAGAAGCTCACATTCTCTTCTTGGGAGAAAGGTTTGTGAGATCATGTGCAAATTGTCATTATTCTTTTCTATCTAAATTTATTATAACCACAACATAAACACCTATTTTTTAAACATATTAATGGGGTATCCTATAATGAGTTGGTGCATGTTATACTGTATAATGTTTAAATCAGGTCAAACATATCTATCAGCTCAAATATCTTGCCTTGTGAAGAAAACACGAAAAACCATTTTCCTGGCATTTAGAAATGCACAGTAGCATGGCTGTTGTAGTCACTCCCCTGAACTGTAGAAGCAGAGCGTTTTGCTCCTGTCTACACATAACTTAGCACGCTTTGATTAATTTCCCCAACCCTCTCTTACATCAGTTCAGCTCTCAGCTTCTATGAGATCAACATTTTTGCATTCTACACATGGTTTTCTGTGCCTGTCTGATTTCACTTCACATAATAATCTCTAATTCCATCCATGTTGTTTCAAATGACAGGACTTCATTCCTTTGTATGGCTGAATAGTATTCTGCTATGCATATGGACTACATTTACTTTATCTGTTCATCGGTTGATGGCCATTTTGGTATTTCCATGTCTTGACTACTTTGAATAGAGCTGCAATGAACATAGGAATGCAGGTATTTCCTCAACATACCCATTTCATTTCCTTTGACTCTACCTACTAGTAGGACTGCTGAACTGTACCATAATTTTATTCTTACTTTGGGTTCAACTTTCATAGTATTTTATATAATTGCCATATTAATTCATATTCTATAAAAGGATTCAAGAGTTATTTGTTATAATAATCATTCTTATTGGGTTATGGTAATAGTTCATCTGGAATTTCATTTGCATTTTCCTGATAAAATAGTGTTGGTGAGCTCTTTGTTGTACGCCTATCAGATGTATGAACAATGTTTTATTTAAGATTTGATTTACTTTTTAAATTGTGAGGATGTTTGTGTGGACATATGCATATAAGTACAGGTGCACACAGAAGCCTGAAGCCTCCAACTCCCTGGAACTGAAGTTAGAGGTGGCTGTAAGCCACCCGAGTTGGTTGCTAGAAATTGAACTCGGGTCCTCTGAAATAGCAGTGAATGCTCTTAACTGCCGAACTATCTCTCAGTCCCCCCCTTGCCCTGCCCCACCGTGGGCAATAATATTTAAAACACATATATCACACTTCCTTAGAAACTTCTCTGGGATTCTTTTATCATTGATGACTTCTTAGTATAAATTGATTGAATTATTAGCTGTTAACTATTTGTCTAATTTTTTTAAATTATCTCTAGTGAACACTAAAATTTATAGACTCCAAACAGGGCAGATTCTACACTGAATGGGTAATTTTCAGAAGGGCTTTATTTTGTTTTATACTGCTTTTAATGATTCAATTTTATGATTGCTAAAATAACATGTAACAAAGTTAGTGAACAGAATGCCTAATGTAAAATTCAGGTGTATAATGCCACTTCTTAGAGATAATTTTTGTACTTTATCTTCTTTACCTTCATTATTTTTTTCTTCTTCAGGTGGTGTTTATTTATCTTAAATAAAGTGCTAATAGATAAATACAGTCAACATTCTAAGGGTTTGGGCTTGATATTTTCATTTGTTTGTGGCAGTTCACATTATGAAGAAAGGGCTGTTCTCAAATTCCTGTTGAGCTTAGGCTGGTTGCAAAACCATGATGCTCCTGCCTCAGTATCACACATGCTTGGATTACAGCTGTGCACCATCACAACCAGGTTAAATACATGGGACTTTAACTCTCAGAAATGAAATGACTTTCTGTTTTAGAGGGACAAAGTAACCTGAAAACCCAGTCTGCCAAAGTTAGTGTGTATGTGAGGATGAAGGCTGTATAAACTGGCTGGGAACAAGGAATGAGCTGGAGTGTGAACAAAATTATCTTAAATTTCTCAGCTGCAGTTTTGTCATAGGTAAAATAGTCATAATAATAGCATTAGCACATAGCATCATGAGATGAAATAAAATGATACTGGTGATTGATTGCATTTTCTCCCAAATCTAGTTGTTATGCCCTCAAATTGGTTCTTTTTCCTTGTCAACAAATTCTAAATGTATTGACATCTTCATAGTGTGTTTCAAGTGTGCATATGAAAGTTTATTCTGTAAGAAAGCCTTAGAATCCAGATCAGTTTTCTGCTAGAAAAATGTAATATACTTTTTAAAATATTCTAATTTTAATAATACTAATATTCATGTAGTATAACATCTTAGAACACACTTATGAAATATTCATTGTCATATTTATGCTTTAGCCACATATGTCAAATAAGTAGTGGGAATTATAAGATACTTATATTCACAAAAATCCTATAAAATGATGAACATACAGATATATAAATATGTCCTATGTGCCACAATGAAGGTAATTCCAGCAGTATTTTGGTACAATTGTTAAATTAATAATGTAAAGAAATGGGCTGACACAATGATGGCTATCATAACACAAGTTGTGGTTTAAGTACCTAAAAACAGTTTCACTTATTTCCCCAATATCCTTACATATGATGTAGATAATCCTGGGTGAAAGTATTTACTTTACACAAACCTGTGAATTTCAGATATTATTACATCTGACTGCAGAAGACCTATATATTGCTAAGTACATAAGTCTTTTGATATAGGGATGTAATAAATAACCAAGAAACATAAAACTTCAATAAAAAGGAAAGGAAAGTAGGAAACTGTGTGTCTCAAACACCAACCATGGTCACTTCTTCTTGAAGACATGCTTTCTTGTATTCGTGAGTCTCTATGTATATTCTCGCACAATATGATATGATTTCCAGATGTTATCCCTTATTCTATCAGACAATACAACTGAAATGTGCATTATCTTTTTTATACTTAAGATTCTAAAATGAAACTGGACACAGAAATAAAGAACAAACTAGATTTAGAGAGAGAAAAAAATAAGGGTCCATTCCAAGTGCAAGGGTATGAGAAACAAGGTTAATCCTACATCCTCAGAGCAGGCTTTGGCTCCAGTCTCCACCATATGCAGGTTTTCATTAAAGACCATATCTGAATTTCCTGTGGCACCTCAGCTGGCCTTATGCTCTTAGCCATAAGACTTACAATCCTGCCAAGTGACTGGGTCTCCATTTGTGTGTCAAGGTGCCCAGAACAGGACAACTATTTATCACCATTTTCTTAGATCATTGAACTTTCCCTTGTGACTTTTACAAATTTGATTATTTTCTATGTGCACAATATTGAATAAACAATGCAGGTTGGTGACAACTCCTCACGATTTTTGGTAATTAAACTCACATTTTAGGAAATTACAAATACTGTACATCACAACTTTGGACTGGTCCAGAGATTTAAAAGAAAAATTAAATCTAGACCTGGAGAGAGAGCTTGGCAGTTAAGAGCACTGGCTACTCTTGCAGAGGACCTAGGTTTGAGCCCAGGTCCCACTTAGTGTCTCACAACCATCTGTAACTCCAGATTCAGGAATCTAATGACTCTTCAAGATTTCATGGACACTGAACAAGTATTCTTGGTGCACAGATATCATGTAGGCAAAACACTCATGCACATAAATAGTGATTTTAAAAAACAAGTACAGAATCAATGAGTGCTGTTTCTACAGGTACCTTACCACACTGCCTTATAACACCACTGGTATTTTCAAGTGACAGTGTCCAACCATTTATGTTTTTGGAGTCCTGTAACCTTATAGTGTACAGTGCTACTAGAAGCTTTGATTCTAAAAGGGGTTTGAATAAGAATTCATTGCTTATTTAATGCATTTACATTATTGATAAAGTTTTTAAATTATTATGGTAGCAGGTTAATTGCTATAAAGTTTCTTGGTGAACTTAGTACCAGGCATTGGGACTTTCAGTTCTCTAGGACTTATCTCTAAGTTCTTTGTATATCTTAATATCCAAATGACTTACAGAATTGATAGTTTTCTACCAGTAACTGTGTGGTTTCAACACAGGAAATAAGAGCAAATAACACTGTATTGACAGGCTGTGACTAAATGAAGGACCCTTATGAAAGAGTAGTCTTATAAAAATCTACAGCTAAAATATTTGCTAAGCTGACTACATCCTTAGCTACCACACACTGAAGAGTAGCATCAAGGGCTATATCTCTGTTAATATCTCCAAGAAATATTTGGAAAGAACAGCCAGACTTCACTTTCCTCATTATAAGAATCAGTGTCTCCTAGCAAAAAGTATAACTTTTGAAATCTAAGCCGGGATACTAGTCTAGGCTGATGGGAGGATGTTATCAAATGAATACTGAATAGACATGTAACACTTTGCCTCTAACTCTTTCATGTCTTATATTCTTTATGTATTTTCTATGATTTCTGCAGATTATCATATTGATATGGATGTAAAATGCTAATGTTCTATGTGGTATTACATGTGCATGAATATATTTACAAATGTAGGTCTCAATACTTTAAAATATTTCTAATATAACACAGAGTGTCTTGGTTGGTTTTTGTTTACAACCTAGACATGTGGGAAGAGGAAATCTCAACTGAGGAATTGCCTCTTTCAGAATGACCTACAGATAAGACTATGGGCATTTTCTTGATTAATGGTTAATGTGGAGGACTCATATCTCTGTGGGCAATGCCATCCCTTGGAAGGTGGCCATTGCACTTATAAGAGAGCAGGCTGAACAAGCCATGGGGAACAAACCAAGAAGCAGCATTCCTCCATGGCCTCTGCTTCAGTTCCTGGCTCCACATTCCTGCCATGACTTCCCTCCATGATGAACTATAATCCACAACCTGAAATAAACTCTTTTCCCCCCAAGTTGCTTTCTCATGATGTTTATCACAGTAGTAAAAAGCAAGAAAAGACATTCAACCAAGAAGGGCAAATTGTCTTTTATGGAGAAAGCAATACATTTTACAAATTATATATTTTTTTCATTTATCTATTTGAGGAAGCACATACAACATCATGCATTGGGAGACAAAGGACAAGTTATGGAAGTCTGTTTTCTCCATCCACCATGTGTGGCCCGGTGATAGAACACAGACCATCAGACTTGGCAACAAGTACCTTTACCACCGAACTGTCGCACTGGCCTGCAAGACATTTTTTTTTAAAATCGTCTTTGCTAAAATAAGAAAATAAGATTTCTTGAAATTAAAAAGGGTTGTTCAAGAAAACTCACACGAATTCTTCATGTTGGGACTTGGTGTGAAACATCTTCTCTCTAAGATAATTAACCTTGTCATTTTTGTGAGTGACAGTGTTTTGCCTGCACGAATGTCTGCTGTATTACTCTGGGCAGATGGCTTGTTTCCTTTTCTGTGAAAAAAAATTAAAAAAGCAGCATATGTAAGAGTTTTGAGCTTCCTCAGGCTCCAGAAGAAATCTCATTTCTGAACTGGAAACAGGTTCTTGAATTTTGTTCATTTTACACAGCTTAGGTGAGCTATATACCTCAGGGCCTGGTGTCTCAGGACCTCACAGATTTCTGGCTAACCATGGAGTCAGGAAATGTACCTTTGTGACACCTGCAAATGGTGACATAGATTCATGCATTTGTAATGAGATGGTCCCATGATGTTTTCTGCACCCCCAATGCAAGGGAAAGAGGGGCCTAAGAATAAATGAGA